TTATTTCTCTATTTATAACACGTCCGTTGTCTCAAACGGTTAAACTAGAATGAGTAACATCTTTTTTAAAGTTGTTTTCAATTATTTGTAGAAAATAATCAATCACGGTTACTTCCATTAAGTTGAATGTCAAAATGATGCATGGTCAGGCCCATGAAAATCTTTCGAAAATGGGACATCGTATTAAACCCGGACTATTAGCTAGTCCATAAAATCGTCTATTACACAACAAAATGTAATTAATTTCCACATAAATAAGTATTTTCCTGATGCTATGGAAGAGAGCTGACTAGACTGGATTTTTACGGTTACATATATCCCACAGTCATGGAGCAGGACCATAACAAACTGTTAGGCTAACGGTAATGGTAACCGCAAGCTAGATCGCCGTGCTCAAGGCCTGGGCTTGAGATTATTTTCATCCCAAGAACTGTATTGCCGGCGTGATAGGCACCCCTGCAAAGCTTCAGTCATTCTATATAGTTCAACACCACTGTTATCTTACCGTGGGTACATCACGCTGTGGCAATGTTCATAAGATATGTGTGTGTCTGTCTCTGTGCCTCTGTGTCTGTCTCTGAATCTGTGTGTGTGTTTCTATGTCTTTGTGTGTCGCCGAGTCTCTGAGTCCGTGTGTTTGTGTGTGTCTGAGTCTGTGTGTGTGTCTGAGTCTGTATGTGTGTGTCTGAGTCTGTGTGTGTGTCTGAGTCTGTATGTGTGTGTCTGAGTCTGTGTGTGTGTTTCTGTGTCTTTGTGTGTCTCTGAGTCTGTGTGTGTGTCTGAGTCTGTGTGTGTGTGTTTCTGTGTCTGTGTGTGTGTGTGTGTGTGTCTGAGTCTGTCTGTGTGTGTATCTGAGTCTGTGTGTGTGTTGCTGTGTCTTTGTGTGTCGCTGAGTCTCTGAGTCTGTGTCTGTGTGTTTCTGTGTCTTTGTGTGTGTGTGTCTGAGTCTGTGTGTGTGTCTGAGTCTGTGTGTGTGTGTGTTTCTGTGTCTTTGTGTGTCGCTGAGTCTCTGAGTCTGTGTCTGAGTCTCTGTGTGTGTGTTTCTGTGTCTTTGTGTGTCGCTGAGTCTCTGTATGTGTCATGTGTGTGTCTGAGTCTGTGTGTGTGTGTCCCCTAGTTTGTGTATGTTTCTCTCTGAGTGTGTGTATGTGTGTGTCTGAGTTTCTGTGTGTGTGTCCCCAAGTTGGTTTATGTTTCTCTCTGAGTGTGTGTGTCTGAATCTCTGTGTGTGTGTGTGTCTGAGTCCGTGTGTCTGAGTCTCTCTCTGTGTGTGTGTCCCTAAGTCTCTGTATGTTTCTCTCTGAGTGTGTGTGTGTCTGAGTATGTGTGTGTGTCTCTCTGAGTGTGTGCTTGTGTGTCTCAGTCTATGTGTGTGTCTATGCCCGAGTCTCTCTGCGTATGTGTGTATGTGTGAGTCTCTGTATGTGTCTCTCTGAGTGTGTGCTTGTGTGTCTCAGTCTATGTGTGTGTCTATGCCTGAGTCTCTCTGCGTGTGTGTGTGTGTGTGTGTGTGTGTGTGTGTGTGTGTGTGTGTGTGTGTGTGTGTGTGTGTGTGTGTGTGTGTGTGTGTGATGGTGATTACGAAGCCAATAACCTTTCGTTTTAATGTTCTGTCTAAATTACCTTTTTCTGTAATCGAATGTAAAAATGTAATCGAGCTGCACTGCTCCATCCCACATATATGAAACATGTACACTCCAGTTGTTTTTACATGAGATGTACAGTGTCATTTATAATACAGAGGGCGTTCATCATTGCGCAAGTAACGTCAGAAGCTGTTTCTGCATCGTACATCTGCTGTCGTGATGAAGGAATATCTCGTAATAAAACGTCCACAGCAATGAACTTTGAGACATTTATGTGGCATATCGCACGCAATCATGTTCAGCTGGAACTGCTTATAAGAACTGCCATTACAGTCTTAGCTCCAACGATCTCTGACCCACCATCGATGTAATGTATTGCGCTTGAAGGATCAGATGTTAATTCCGTGAACTTGTCACATTTCGACAAAGGTCCAAGACTGTCAGTATGTCCCAAAGGATATTCGATCATAAATGTGTTTTTCTTTAGCGTGTTTGTTGTTTAACGCCTCACCCAGCAATATTCGAGCGAAATGCCGTCGATCTGCAAATAATCGAGACTGGACCAGACTCTTTAATTGTACTTGTGTAGTAGTTGGCAGAGTGAGTGAGTGAGTGAGTGAGTTGGGTTTTACGCCGCTTTTAACATTATTCCAGTTATATCACGGCGTGTCAGCTTAATGTGTGAGGAAAGCCCGAAGTGATGCAGGTCTCAGACGTTTACCACTTCGGTGAAACCCACGAGCACGGGTATGGTGCTGACAAACCTAGAAACATAATTGGGGCGAACCGGGATTCGAACCCACAATCATAGGTTTCTGGCGTGCCCAAGGGACGCAACTCTGCACAGCGAATCGCGGCGCCTTAGACGACGGGGCCACCCGTGCCCCCAGTAGTTGGCAGAAGGTGAATAGATTGAAACTATTGGTTTAACATCCCAAGATTTCTTGTGCCCTCCCTTGGAACAGTTACGTGATCTGTTGATTGACCTGAAATGTCCCAGAGAAACATACTTTCAGGTCTTCACACTGACCATGACCTTCACTGATCCAATATGGCGGCAGGTCCTTCTCGGCCAGAACACTTAACTAAACGCCATCATCTAAATTATGATGACTCTACAGCGACCATGCAGCTCAAATTTGGTCATTTCTTTGACTGTTTCTTGTTATGTGAATTCACTGACATTAGTGTTTTCAGGAAATACCAAGTCTAAGTACAGATGTCATTTAACAGAATAATAACGTGACTGCTTCATTGAAGACATTTAATTATATTAAGTCCAATTGTAATGCGCAAGATTCCATAAACCAAGTGATCGCTCAAGGCGCTACCGGTCGCTGGATCAATGCACACTCAAATTTCATTTTCAGCTTCCTGGGAAGTATCAGGCCCCATCATCTACATGAGACGCCAGAAAATACCGTGATTTCTTACCACCATCTCACCCTACCGGTTACCGACGATCAGTGATCCATTCGTATAATCGCCACAGCTGTTGTGCCTTTTGCGTCCCATGGACTCTGTTTTTCTGCAGTAAATCGAGACTGGTTGATCTCTGGCGTTGATGTTTAAGGTAAACGTGAGACCTGTGTGCCGCACACAATCACGTGCTTCCATGAGAGCGTTATCAACGCGAGATAACGTGCTCCATGAAAAAATCAGGTTTCCCGAGATAAAAATATATTCAATCCAGAAAATCAATCAGAATAAAACAGTTGATTGATGCCACAGTCTCAAATTTCACTTTAATCGATATAAACTACGGTTATTATGAACTCGAGGGGACCACTAATTTTAATTCGTAATAACCGTAGTTCGTTATAAGCATACATACAGCATATATACCCACAAATGGTCGGAACTAAAAAATAAGTTCGTTATATTGGTCAGTTCGTTATAAACGTAGTTTACTGTAATTACCAATAAATTGTTATCTGGAATGCCTGTACGTACGTCCTAACTTGATATTTAAATAACATGCATAAAAAAGAATTAGATATATTTATAATATTTCATGTCAATCCCGATAAGTTTAAATGACGATTGTGTCTGTAAATTATTTTGACTCGAGGGGCGGTCGGGTAGCCTAGTGGTTGGTTTGTTCTCACTCTGCCGGCAGATTATATGGATTAATTAAGTCTAATTAAATCTAATCCGCATTAGTCGGATTACGCAATGTCCGGAAGTGTGGTCTGCAAAGTGCCTTTGCAAACAACCCAGATGTGAACTTGTTCGTGAGGAGAGCTTGTTCCCTACCTCTACTGAGACCTGAAGATATCGAAGATTTCTGGTTCAATGCCCTCGAAGCTGCTAACACGGAAGGCCCTTCAATTTCGAAGTTTGCTGATTACGTAACTGAGCAGTGGGTTGAGGGAGAAGACAGAAATATGTGGAACCATTTTGACACGCTAGGTCCACGAATCATGTTGAGGGGTAGCAAGCAAGAATTAACAAAATGACCACCAACCATCCCAACATCTTCAGGTTCATCACCCTCATAAAATCTGAACAATCAATGACAAAAGTGACCATCAGTCAGCTCCAGTCTGGTGGTAAGAAACGCCCCAAGAAGAAACAGTATCGCCAACTGGAGCATGAACTAGACCGCCTGAAAGTCTGTCTTTCGAATAATAGCAAGACAATGATGGAATATGGAGATGCCGTCTCCCACCTGGTTGGATTGTTCTATTTTATTGTGGTGATATAATGTATGATTAATCTGTGTTTAATCCCTCCCTGTCCCTCCCTGTGTTTGTGGATTATCCCGGGAGATTACCTTAATTACCCTAGACAATACCTGCCGGCAAAGTGGGAACACTCCTAGTGGATAAAGCGTTCGCTCGTCACGCCGAAGACCCGGGTTCGATTTCCGACATGGGTACAATGTGTGAAGCCCATTCCTGGTGTCCCCCGCCGTGATGTTGCTGGTAAATTGCTAAAAGCGGCGTAAAACCATATTCACTCACTATATCATTTCACCTCACTGACACTACTAGCGTAAAGTAAACCTCACATACGAGACCATTGTTCGACTTTCAGAGGCAACCGGTAAAACCTGCTATTCCAGGTCGCCTTACTTTCCAGGTACAATGACAACGAATCATCCATGTAATTGACCTGTCGTGGCTAGATGGTATCGTACTTGAGCAACGGACAGACATGAGGTCTAGCTATTCAACTCCTGTGTTATACACAATGGCAAATTAAAAATAAACCATCAAGTGTTTTCTTAAGTTGTTTGGAATTTCTAAGACACAATGCCACCGGTCAGATACGCTGGCATTGTAGGTTGACATTTCCATCTCCGATGAAGTAACGGGCATGACACCACTGCACTGAGGACTAAACCCAGCTAATGGTTCAGTGCGCAAATGCCTACATGGCCAACGATGCACATCATCAACTTACACTTACCTCATCTGACACTGATGAATTCATTTTTCTTCTTTAATTCCCTCTTTGGTAGGATTTGCTCTTTTGATCACCCTTATCGCCTCTGCTGCGACGCTACAGCGGAGGTAAACTTTTTTGTCTTTCACAACGTCGCTTTTAATTAGTTCTCAGGGTAATGCTTTTTAAAGTTGCTCAACAAGACCCATTTATGTAAATACACATTTGACACATTGCAAACTTTGGAAGATCCAGCTCTCGTAACAGATCCACATCGTTTCGTTTCCTCCACATAAAATCAATGTAATGATTTTGTCAAAGCGTCAGTGAATATGTTTTGCTGTCAGTCGATGCTAATCGCAGAACATCAGCAAAGGAACATAAAGAAAATTATTTAACTTGTCCGTGTTCTTTTCAGCAAATGTCAGTTTACCTTGTGACCGAACTCCGTATCGGGTTTAACCAGAAAAGCTAGTATCGATGAACGTGAAATCGTTGTAACTCACCGATCACTTTGAAATCCAACAATGCATATACTCCAAGGAACATGCGCAAGGATCCGAAAATGAACCTGCGTTGACATTTAATGTTCAAGCCGATCCTTTAAGAAACGATTTAACCCAAGACAGCAATTATTGTCGACGTCTCAGGCTTAAGTCGTTACATTTGTTACACTCTAAAGCCTACCATTTTAACGGGCGTTAACTTATTCACTGTGAGTTCCTTCTCACTGCTACAAATGTGGCGAGTGTGTCTGTTGATTTATCCTCGACGAAAAACACTTTCCCTTTTCACAAAAAATAGGAAAAAAACTCACTACACTCTTATATTGACGTCCACAAGTAAATCCTATTCCCAACTGTTTTGTGTACGTCAACAAGCCATCCCAGTCTTGACTTAAAATACTGTCTGCAAATCGTTCGATGTTACTGTCTTCTGAACAAGTTTCCCTTCCGTATCCAGTAGATGAAGACGTTAAGGTTGACAAAGAAATGGTAAAAGACACTCGACTCTTCTCCGCTGCTTTGTATCATCCATCCTCTGATAAAAATCAATAAACTTATGGTACGTTTCAGAACACACAAGGGGAAGCCTGTTAACCCCGCCCACAAACTGTAGCCAACGACGCGGAGATACTTCGTGACGAGTGAACGTTTAATCTCAACTTTACAATCCGCGCTTATGTGAGACGTCTATCCAGCAACAATATCCCTCTTCACTGTCAAGTTTCAAGTCATATCAATAATTCACAACACTGTCCTCCTTGTAAAGCCTTGCTATGAACTCTTGGCCAAAGTGTTTGGGTCTTTGTATTTGTGCATAGAACCGACCCGGTAGTCAAATATCAGCAGATAAATTTATATCTGCTCCTGTGCCACGATTATAAGAATCAATTGCCATACCTGTTTTAAAGCTCAATGACAGATTTCCCGAAAGGAGCACTGAAAGGGGTACGTGGATCCAGATCCGTCACTGAACTTGTAAACTGCGCTTGGATTACCAAACACATCAACTCCGAGAGCACCGCTCCACAGTACTGTCATTCTTGAACCCCTGAGTCGTTTACACCGACCGCTGAACGAACCAAACTCCTCGCCGTGGACTTGTCATAGGTGTGTGATATACTCAGCACTGCGTCCAATGGATGATGGATTCCTCGCGCTGTTATCTGGTACATTCCGCTCTGGCAATTATGCTGACAGGATGTTGAGTATCACGAGGAACGTGGGCATAGAAAGGTGGCTCTCGGATCCCCGGTTATAGTTACAAGCTTACATTTATTCGCACACGAATTCGTAAGATATTTTGGGATTAGCCAACACAAACCTGTAGAAAGAAATGATGGTATTTTCTCATGGAGTCTTTCGCAAACTGGGGTGCAGCTAGTTTAGCGTACAAAACGAGCTGGAGTATTCCAATATCAGATCTTGATAAACATTCTGTGGGTGCGTTGAGGATTTTTCAACATAGAAATGTTGAACGTGATCGGCTTCATTGAAATTCGTCAGTTTGCTGTTTCGAGTTCTCATTTTTGTTATGAAAGGTATAAGGTTTCATGATGTAGTTTCAGCGGCGTGTTTACCTCGCTGGATTAATTCCGATTAATTTCTCCAAGTGTTTTGAAATAAATCAATGAACTGACGAAACACAAAATCGGCCATTGAAGATTATATTTAATTGCAGGCGTCGGGATTCGATCCCTTCGTCCCCTCGTACCGCAAGGCGTTAACAATGGCACTGAACTCGTCAATTTAATGTAGATATTATATCACACATTATTATAAGGTCTTTGGGAGCTGATGTTGTGACGGAAATTATAACTTGTATTAAAACACTTCTCACATCTAAAGGGGGCACGGGTGGCCCAGTCGTCTAGGGCGCCACGATTCGCTGTGCAGAGTTGCGTCCCTTGGGCATGCCAGAAACCTATGATTGTGGGTTGGAATCCCGGTTCGCCCCGATTATGTTTCTAGGTTTGTCAGTACCATACCTGTGCTGGGGGGTTTCACCGAAGTGGTAAACGTCTGAGACCTGCATCACTTCGGGCTTTCCTCCCACATTAAGCTGACACGCCGTGATACAACTGGAATACTGTTAAAAGCGGCGTTAAACCCAACTCACTCACTCTCACATCTGAACAGTAAATATAATTTTTACAAGCCGTAATTGCGCCCCAGGCATGTGTAGTTGCAACATATGTGCAGCATAATTTAGTTTTTCATTTTCATAAATATGTATGTGGAATAAAACTAATCCAAAAATACAGCAAGCGCATCTCAGCAACAGTAGACTAAAATATAACCTATCAAATCTTTAATTACACAATTTATTTATCTCCTCTAATTTTTTATGCTAGTTTCATGTGTTAAATAACTGCCTGGAATTGCTTTTTTTTTTATCAAGACCGGTTTCGTTTTCATAAAATACAATCATATATTCATCAGTCATGGACCGCCTCCGTGGTGTAGTGGTAGAGCGTCCTCCCGGAGAGCGGAAGGTCCGGGGTTCGATCCCCGGCCGCGTCTTACCAAAATAGGTTAAAAGTTGTTGTTACCCTGTCTGGCGCTCGGCATTAAGGGGCTAAAACAAGGACTGGTCAGCTTGGAGTCAGTATACTGTGTCTGAGTGGGATATTCATGTTAAACTGCGGCACTATAAATCGACATCAGTCCGGACTAGTACAAGCAGCCACACACACACACGTACATGCACGTCGCTATATAAGTGCAATAATCTTGGACGCGACGTTAAACCCCATTTCCCCTCACTCACCTCATCAGTCACGTGGCAGGACAAAGCAACAGGAGACCAACGATTTCCACCACAGTCGGGTCACGTCCCCTCGCTTAATACAACGGCACAGTGCGGCATGGGGGGTTAATACCGATTTTACTTGCACCCTGACTGTAGAATATACTTAGTCTGGTATGTATTTCATGAAAACAAAACCAATTTAGATTGACATATAAGCAAATCCAGCCAGCTCCATTTCACATCAGCATCAGGAAACGCATTTGTTTTAATTTAGCGGAGAGAAATGTATTTTGTAAATAGAAGATTTCATAGATTAATTGTTAGTCAACGATTTTGCGAACACAATTAAATCACATTAACCCAGACGGTGCGATAGGGTAGCCGACTGGTTAAAGTGTTCGCTCGTCACTCCGAAAGTTCGGGTTCCCGACTTGGGTAAAATGTATGAAGCCCATTTTGGTGTCCTCCGGTATTGGAATATGTCTGAAAACAGCGTAATACTAAACTCTTTCACTCACTTTTCCTGACGATACGAATTATTGGGAATGTTCATGTGGACATGTCTACACGTTCCTGACACGGCCGTGTTGATCGAGGTTCAATTTCCTAATTATCGGGTCTAAATTAATATCAACGTCGCTTTAAGCCAAATTGCCCCAAGCAGACATTGTTCTAATGTTGAGAACCGAAACCCCACGCGATGGCAATAATGATGTAGCCTCCAGGTTTTAATGACGTCAAAACACCCCGGTGCATGACACAGGAAGTTTCACTGACAGGCAAAACATGTTAAATTTCCCATCCGTAGCATACACACTTACAGTAAACACTTCCATGATGTAGGGACAATCAGCACACATGGGACGAAACAACCAAAATAAACATTGAAAACTGCTAAAAAATTATACAGTTTATGATTGGGGTTGAATAATAGGTCAATGTCGAAAACGACTCGCGCGCGCCTGAAATTTGGAAGACACCCAAGGGACACAACTCTTCCGTCTCCTCGACAGAACAACATTCGTTTCGCTGTCTGTTCGTTAAACCGTTAGTCTGCTATCCCGCAGGCCAGAAGCCAACTGCAGCCCTGATAAGTTGAGGCCGCGGGATGAAAGGCGGAGACGCCATAACAGTGAACCTATATTGTGGTCCCGCATTCAACAACGTCTATACCATTTTCAGTCGTGGATACAGATTGTGTTTAGCTTGGAAAAGGAGGGATACAGCGTGCATATAAAATACTAGATGGATCTACATTATTCTAAACTTGTGGTGTTATTTATGAAATCATTTCATTAAAGAAACGTTGTTAAAGTGGTTATTAAATATGAAAATGTTGAGTATATTATAAAATGCTTCCGTTTTCCACCCCTCGATCCGCATTTTGTATAGAATTGGCGTACTTCATAAAAAACAGGTGTTTGGTTTGTAGTTTTTACAACATCAACTTTTAGCTCTGCCGGAAACAGTCTGAAGAATATCACAGTGCTTTCATCAAGTGAGCAAGGGGCAACTCCGAGAGCGCCTGCCTTTTTCGTGTTCTTTTTTTTATTTGTACTGCCGACCGCAATGAAGTTTTTCTTACAGGGAAGAGAAAACAGAAACGCCCTTTAAACAGAAACGCCATCTTTACTTCTATTCATAGAAAGGCAAAGATATCTAAACTAGTTAAAATAATCGATTTAATTGAATCTTTTTCCGACGTTTCTACTGGTTATCAAAAACTGTTTTTATAGCCTCAGTGCAACCGATTACGATACGTGCCAAAGCATAATCAGACAGTAAAAAGTTCACTTTTTAGACCGGCTCGAATAAATCCTAGGCTTTTAATTTTGAGTACTCGCAGAAGAAAATACATGAGTGGAAGCGAGAACTAATTATGTTTCTGTCACACAAGTCTAACACGGAAAACTGGAGGAAGTATTTGTTTTGGAATAATGAACTGTGGGCGCCTTTGATCCTGCCACCAGCCATTTCAGAGGGTGTTTTCGAGCTTGGGAGAAAGCTCACGCTATCAAAGACTAATTTACTTTTTCTGGCTTACGTTATTCGCCGCACGCCGCCGTCACAGAATTTTTCAGTAAATTCTTTCTGTGTGACACTGGTATGAAATGTACATTAAACTTGTGAAATATTGTCTTTAGGATAGAGGACGTTGGCGCAGAGGACACAAAACGGCATACAATGATCAACTTGAAGTCGTCCTTTTCGCGAACACCTGGCGCCTTCAATATTTGATAGTTATTCATAAACACATTCTCATGATATACAGTAAACTACGGTTATAGCGAACATGCTTATAACGAACTGACGGATATAACGAACCTGCTTATTTGGTCCCGACTATTTGCTGTAGTTATTATGTATATATGCTTAATAGCGAACTACGGTTATAACGAACTAAATTAAGTAGTCCCCATGAGTTCGTTATAACCGTAGTTTACTGTAGTTGAATCGTACAATGGACGTTGCTTTTAGCAGAGATTTCTTGTGAATAGGGAAAGGATTTTGTGGCTTTTATTTAAAAGACACTTTACTGCATTGACCTACAATTAGATTGGTTTGATGTTCAATTTTTAAAATGTTTAAAAAGTTTAAAGTTAAAAGTTTAATTTTACAGCCTCAAATGAGTAAGTAATACTCGGATCACCTTACTTCCATATGGCCATCTAGACCAGCATTGGGAGGAGTCTATATATTTGGACTTATCCACAAGTTTCAGGTGATTATAACATTAAATAAAAGCGAAAAAAACATTTCCATGTTCCTAAAAAACTCTGCCAAATACAGTCATGAGCAAGTGTTTATGAATCACTATCTGATAGTGATGATACCAGTTGTTCGTGAAAAGGTCAGCGTATCCCGCCCAAATGATGCATTGGTCAAAAACACATGCAAAGGCAAGTCAGGTGTTAGCCTAAAACACCAGGGAACTTATGGTACAAGCTAACACAGGGAATTGCATCGGACATCATTCTCGTCATAAACAACCCAATGTGGCTGCAGACTTGGCTGTTATATGATACATGTATGAGGTCGTATGCCTGACTATTATGAACAATAAAGGGACTTATTTAAATGGAACGCGATGTTGGACGAACAGTAGCGAAGGGATCGCTCGGTATGCGGTTCCCAGGAAATATCACAACTCCATTACGTCCCGAAGGCATTTTATTTGTAACGGAATAAGCCGAGTGAACCCGAAGGAATTTGCGAGGTGTTTCGTCCACGTTGTCGCGATATTTATTGATGATGAAACGGACCATCTCTGCCGAAGATGCGAATAATGTGTCAGATGATTAAAGATTAAAATCATTATGATTAATCATAATAATTAATCACCTTTATTTAGATTTTATTATTTATACCTAATATTGTTGT